CCCCCCCCCGCCCCTGCTGGCTGGCGTCATTCCAAGCAGCATCCAGCTCCTCTGTTCAGGGAGCGCCAGCGTCAGGCTGCGCCGGGTTCTCGGGGCCCTGTGGATGGGCATGGTCCCCAGGGAGGCCTGTCTGTCAGTTTGGGGTTGGGAAGGGTGCAGGCCGGCCGCCTTCCCTGGCCAGGCCCCACCTGGCCCCAGGCCTCCTGCTAAGTCCCCCTTTACAGATCTCCCCACAGCGAGGGGGCTGTCCAGCCTGTGTGGCTCAGGGTGACCTGTCCTGCCCTTGGGTTTGAGGCTCTGCAGACATTGGATGGGGTGAGGCCCTGCGGGACCCTTGGTGTGTCGTGGCCGGAGACGCCCAATGGTGGTCTCCATCCAGAATCAGCCACGTGCTTCTTAACCGGTGCCTGTGGGCTTCTCTGGAGACCTGGATCGTGGGGAACAAAACGTTAAGCCGGGGAAGGCCCCCGAAGCCGGAGTGGCAGCTTTCACAGGGGTCCTCGCATCTCTGCCCTGCCCCCACCGCCACCCAGAAGGGAACACTGCCTTGTTCATGTTTTCCAATGAGGATATTCAGTACGTGCCCTGTAAGAAGTCAGATCGTAGACAAAGGCCCAGATGAGGCCCTGCAGGCTCCCGAGCAGGGCCGGCGTTTCCTCGCCCTTCAGTGTTCTTCGCGCCAGCTGACTCTTGCGGAAGCTCCTCTCTCCACGGGCAGCGTCCAGGGTAAACAGAGGCCTCCCCGAGGCTCCTGTCGTCCCTGTCCTTCGTTGGCCTGAACCCTGGCGGGGGCCCGGCCTGGCCAGACCGCGGGGTGAAGAGAGCTGTGGGGCTCGCTGGTCCCGTCTCCGCCCTGGGCTAGCTCTTCCGTCCCGGCACCCGGAGAGGTCAGTGCTGGGCAGCGGGGAGCTGCAGCCTGACCTCCATGATTCCAGCTCCCATCACTGCCCACGGCTCTTTGGTGTTCAGGGAGAACTGAGAGGCAAGATGAGGGTTTCCCAAACCCAAACACAGGTCAGCTCCAGGCAAATCCCCTCGAGGCTGGGAGGGCAGTTTGGGGACAGCCCTTTGAAGCGTGCGACCAAGGCTGCCTGCTTCTGGTAACAGGGCCCCAGTGCAGCGAGGGAGGCCTGGAGCGTTGTGCCCCAGCCCCTCGGGGTCCCAGGCCTGGAGGGGGGCTGCCCCATACCCTCCCCCACCGACCCCCTCACCTGTGGGCCGCCCGTCCTGGCCCCAGCAGCCCCTGGGCCGCCCGTGGCTCTGGGTCTGGGGTTGAGGGCCTCCCTTTTGTGTCTGGCGGCCGCAGGCTCTGGTGTCTACATCACGCGGGGGCAGCTGATGAACTGCCACCTCTGCGCGGGGGTAAAGCACAAGGTTCTGCTGCGGCGCCTCCTCGCCACCTTCTTTGACAGGTAGGTCCCCGCGGGCCCTGCGGTCTCTAGAATCATCTCTAGACAAGGCCGTGCGTCCAGGGTCCCCCACCTTCCCGACCTCACAGGTGTCAGCCCGCGGCCGTCGGCCAGACCTGGGTCTGGGGAGGGCTTGTGGACCCGCCCCCCGCGCAAAGTGAACCACACCGGCTCCATGCCACTGGGGCGGGGGGTGGGGGGCGCTCCTTCCCCTAAGGGGCGGTGGGGCATGCAGGCAGGGACCCCGTTCCCGTGCGTCCCCTCCAGACGGCGGCCTCACGCTGCCCGCCTTCCTGTCCTCCCACCAGGAACACGCTGGCCAACAGCTGTGGCACGGGCATCCGCTCGTCCACCAGTGACCCGAGCCGCAAGCCACTGGACAGCCGCGTCCTGAACGCTGTGAAATGTAAGAGGAGGACTGGGGTCTCAGGGGTGGGGAGGCATCTCGAGGAGCTCCAGGAGCCCCCAGGCCCTTGGATGTCGGCCTGGGAAAGGTGGCTTCTCCCCAGGAGCAAGCCGGGCCGCAGGGTCGACGGGGAGAAAAGAGCAGCTCGCGGGGGCCCGGTCTCGAGGTGTTAACATTCTTGGTAGGTTTCCAAGCGTGATGAATTCAGCTGCGAAACTATTTTAATATGTGAAATAGATCTAATTTTCCTTTTGGAACAAAACCGCTTATTTACATTTTGGGGTTATTTTGAGCCTTTGCCATCTGCTCGGCCCGCTTCTGCCTCCCGCTTCTGGGCCCGTGGGGGCGGAGTCTGGTCCATCTCGGTGGCAGACCGCCGCCCCCATCCCCCCCCCCGCACCCCCCAGACGAGGAGGAAGCCACCGGTGCCCGGCACGGGCCAGTGCAGCCAAGAGCACGTCCTCCTGTAGCTGTCGGCACGCGAAAACACTGTCTTAGTTTTCTGGCTTAAAAAATCTCTCTTGTGAGGCTAATTCTGTTTTAGAGCAAAGAGGGGCCTTTGCAGCCAGTAATCGCGTCCCAAAGCACGGGTGGGGTGCTGGCAGCGGCTCTGGGAAGATGCCGAGAGGGGGTGCAGCTGGTGTTGCCCCAGAGCAGGGCTCACAGTGGAGGGGGCTCACCCTGGGGGACCTGCGTCTGGGTTCCGTGCTGTTCGGAGACCTGGGTCTTGAGGCTCCTAGAGGAGAAGCCGGGAGAGGGCGTATCGTTATTATTGCGGATGATGATGCCACTGCTGGGCTGGGGTCTCCGGGCCAGGGACTGGACTGAAGACAGGTGTTAGCCGGCCCCCTCCTCACTCCTTGCCAGCCCTTTGCTCGGGCCCAGAGAGACCCGAGCCTCACAGCTGAGTGGGTGCCCAGGCCCTGCCCCGATTCCCACTCCACCAGGGCAGGGATTCTCAAAGGCTTGTCTGACCAAGGATGCAAGGTGGGTGGGACAGAGTGGGAAAGCGAGGCCCAGAGATGGGGGCCCACCCAAGGCCGCACTGCCAGCCAGTGGTCTGGAGGAGCCAGAGCCCCCTGGGCCCTCTGTGCTCCTGCTAGAGCCGCAGGCTGGGGTCCTGTTTGCTCTGACTGCCCCTCCCCTGAAGGTTCCCACAGGCTGTCCCAGAGGAGCGGGGCGGGGCCTCCAGCAGTGAGAAAGGTGAGCGCTGGTCTTCAGGCTGGCCCAGAGGAGGCCTCGGTGGCCCTGTGGCCTCCCTTGCCAGAGGGGAACAGGGTGGAGGAGACCCTGGAGGTGCCCGGCCGGCCCCCCTGGCCCCGCGGTGGCCTCTGCAGCCCGGAGCGCTGCACCCCCTGGCTTGTCCAGGGCAACTCAGTCCCACGGCCCCTCAGGAGGCGGAGGGCCGGCACCGTGGGCTTCCCGCGGGTCGGTGGCCGCTGACGCCACCTCCCGGCGCCCTGTCCTTGCAGTGTACTGTCAGAACTTCGCTCCCAGCTTCAAGGAGAGCGAGATGAACGTGATCGCCGCGGACATGTGCACCAACGCCCGCCGCGTCCGCAAGCGCTGGCTGCCCAAGATCAAGTCCATGCTGCCCGAGGGCGTGGAGATGTACCGCACGGTCATGGGCTCCTCGGCCGCCAGCGCGCCCCTGGACCCCGACTTCCCGCCCGCCACCGCGCAGGTGTTTGAGCAGCGCATCTATGCCGAGCGGCGGGGCGATGCAGCCGCCATCGTGGCTCTGAGAACTGACGCTGTGAATGTCGACCTGGGCGCCTCCACCAACCCCACCTTCGAGGCCGGCTCGGAGGCCGACGGGGCCGGCTCGGTCGTCCAGGAGGTGGCCGCGCCCGAGCCGCTGCCCGCCGAGGGCCAGAGCCCCCCGCAGCCCTTCGAGCAGGGCAGCGCCAGCAGCAGCCGGCCCGCGACGCCGGCCGCAGGGAGGAGACCGGAGGGCCCGTACGCAGGGACCTTGTAGGGGCCCGAGGCCGGACCGGGCGCCAAGGCGGGTACTGAAGCTGCTTGCATGCGTTACTAATACAGACAAATGTGATCAAGCCACTTACCTACCAAACTGCTACTGTTGCCTGAAAAAAATGTGATTTTTATTCTGCTTGTATTTAAAATTCATGAAGGAAACAAATGCATTCGTTATACTGTAAACGATTAGGCCCCTGGTGACCTAGTTGCGAGGAAGGTCCCGGGGCTCCTTTTTGATATTCGAGAGGTTAGTCTCCACATTGTAGCTTTCCCTCCCCCTGTTCGGGGAGGGGGCGAGAGGCCGCCAGACCCTTGTGCCTGGCCTCCTGCCCCCACGGCTCCCTCTGCCTGGGGCGAAGCCAGGGGCCTGTGGGGCGGGAGCACGTGTCTCGGGACCCTCGTTCCTTTCCCATGGGGACCCCCACCACTCCTCCGGGACCACGGGCCAGGGCTGGGCCCCCAGGGGCCAAACTCCTTGCTCTCCCTTCTTCCTGAGACTCGGGGCTCAGGCCCGCCGGGTCCGCCGTGCGTGTGGGGGGTTGGGTGTGTGTGCGGAGCGTGTGCGAGCGTGTGCGAGCGTATGCGGGGGCGGTGGTGCTGGCACAGTGGTGGGCTGTGCTGGTCAGTGTGGGCGGTGGAGGCGATCTGGGCTGCGTCTGCTCTCCTGCCCCGCGCCCGTGGGGTCTGCCCGACCCCTGCGGCTCCACGGACCCTCGGTCCACCTGGGACCCAGGGCCTGGGCCGCCGGCCCTGGCACCTGCTGGCTCCAGCCTGGCCACCCGCCCCGGCCACCCACCCACCATCCTGTGAGGTGGGGCCGCTGCCCCGGGGCAGCCCACGCAGTCCGCAGCCACATTGGGTTTATGTTTGTTTGTTTATTTGTTTTCGTCTTAATTCAGATCTATTTCATGTATGGTTTGGAAACTTTCAGACCCAAAAGAGCAAAAAAATTAGGGAGGATTGGGGTCCCTGCCCCAACCCACTACGGCTTGGGGGTGGGTCCACCTGGATACCACGTCCCGTCCCGTCCCCCCGTCCACCCCCCCCCCCCCCCCCCCCCCCTGCCACTTTCCCCCGTTGGTGTCTATATATTTGTTCTCTACATCTGTGTCTCAATTTCTGCCCTGCAAACCAGTTCATCTGTACCATTTTTCTAGGTTCCACTTATATGCATTAATATACGATATTTGTTTTTTTTCTGACTTATTTCACTCTGTTTGACAGTCTCTAGATCCATCCAGTCTCTACAACTGACCCAATTTCATTCCTTTTTATGGCTGAGTAATATTCCATTGTATAGCCCACTCGCCTGTTGAAGCGCAGCCAGGGTGTGCCCCGGGGGAAGGGGCGGGGTTGGAGCCAGGCCCCTCGTGCTGGGCTCCACCGCATGCGCTCCGAGCCCTGGGGTATGCGCACCTCTGACGCGGTGGGTGGGTGGATGGTGGGCACAGGCCTGAGCTGGGGCGATTTGCAGGTGCACGGGTTCTGGAATGCGTGGCGGGGGCGTGGAAGTGTTGGTTTGAGGCTGGAAAGCTCACTGAAGTTTAATTGCTGTTTGCGGGGAGGGGCGCAGGCTGTCCGAAGTGCTCGTGTCCAGACGTCCAGGGGCTGCCTTCCCCTCGAGTCCCAGGCAGCCCCCAGGCCTGGCCAGAGGCACACCCCACCCCCAGACTTGAGCGGGCCTGCTGCTTCCCGCCCCCGTCTCGTCCCCCTGTCAGGCAGGTGTGGCTCAACCCTCCTGACCCGCAAAGTTGAGCCGCCCTCGTGTGGGTCCCAGCGGGAGGCAGCCTGGGGGACAGAGCAGGAGGCTTAGGCTCGTCCTGCTGATTGCAGCCCTCCCTTGTGGAGGGCCCTTGGGGGAGACCTGGGGGGGTGGGTGGGGGCGCCTTCCAGCCAGGCCACACAGGTGCCTGCCCTCCAGACAGCGCTCATGGCTCCGGGCCGGGGTCGGGGGACCCTGGGTGGGCACTGGCGCAGGGAGGGCCGAGCCCTGTGGTCCCGGCCCAAGGGGCTGCAGCTCCTTCCTGCTGGGGCTTCGGACCAACCACCTGGCCCAGAGGCGGGCCTCCTCTGTCTCACGCCCAGGTGGGATTGGAGCTGGCAGGGCACCCTCCCCCCCAGGCCCACAGCCCACCAGGGGCCAGGACCAAGTCCTCCTGGAGTTGGGAGGAGGCCACACCCCCTAAGCTGTCAGGAGGCTGCGGGGCGGGGCGTGGTGGGTGAGGCAGACCCCACCGTCCCCCGCTCCAGACGGAGGTCCCTTCATCTGTCCCTGCCCCGTGTTTGCACTTTCATTCCACCATCCCTGGGGACCTTCGGGGGCTGACTGCCCGTCCTGGCTGTTGACAGAAGGGCTCGCTCTTCCCTTCTCCACTCCAAGGTGGGCACGGCCCTCACCCGAGGCCAGGACAAGGAGGGGTGCCGCTGGTGCAGCGGTGGAGGCGGGGGCCTCCCTGAGACAGCGGCCTCCCTGAGACGGCCTCACCGCCGCTCAGGCTAGCAGAATGTCCCGTGACCTCTGTCCTTTAACTGTTTATAATCGCCGTCTGTTTTGTTGTTCTGGGTGAGGAAGGCAAGAGCTACAGGTGAAACTTTAATAATAATCAAATGTGAATGGGTTCTGAGCTCTCCCTGCGCCCCGGGCGGGCCAGGCCGAGCGTTTTGCACTAATGTGTCCCGCGGTGGACGTGGGTCGGGAGCGTTGCAGACGGGCGTGGCTGATGATTGTATCTGCCGGGGCGCTCCCTCTGCGTCCTGAATGTTCCTCGGGGTGGGTGGCGGCGGGCCTGGGCTCAGAGGGGCCTTCCAGAGTGCCTTAGCATCTTTTGATCATTTTTCCCAAGGAAAACCAATTAAGAGAACCGGACCCTCCCCCTCCTCTGTTTACAAGACGACTAATTCCTGTCCTGTGAGCGTGATCCTGACTCACCCAGATCCTGTAGACCGAGAGACAAGCCACTCAGTATTTATGAGATGTCTGCACCTTTATCCCTAAGCTTGACTATTAGCAATATGCATATAACTACATAGAGTCTATTACACAGAGCTAAGTCCTGTCAGCGCCTTTGGAGGACAGGACCGGGCCAGTCCCAGCGGCTGTGGTGGGCGGCTGGCCTGAGCTCCAGCGGCGGCCTGCCCCCTCCTGCCCTCCCCAGCGGCCGGGATATGGCGGGGAAGCAGCTGGGACGAGTGCAAAGGTCCAGGAGAAGGGACCGGAGATGCGACATACTGTGAGCTCGGTGGGGCCGCCGCCCACCTGGCCGGGCGGCCTTGGTACTTGAATCCCATCTTGCTTTCTGCACCGTGTCTGGTCTCGCCCAGAGTCCTCTGTGGTTGCTTAACCTTGCATCTGATTCGATCGGCTTTCCTTGCCCCTGAATGTGGACGAGAGGCGAGGGGAGAGGCCTCTGAGGTGCAGCCCTTGACCCCTGCCCGCTGTCCCGGAGCCGGGCCTGTTTCTCCTCCGTGAAAACGCATTCCTCGGCGGCCTTAGAGGAAGGAGGAACGCAGAGAGAGGCTCGCCCTGGGAGGGGTCTGCTGCGCGCCCGGCCCTGACCTGTCCCCATTTGACGGCCGGAACCCTCCAGCACTGGCCCTGTGCGTGCCACCCTAGCCGTTGACGGCTTAGATGCCCCTCCAATGGGTTATCTTTATGGAAATATCTTGCTGCAAGTAGAAAAAGGCCTATGGCCCATTAACCAACTGAAAACTCAGAAAACCTCTGTTTGCCTCTCTGCCAGCAGTAAATCCTAAACACAGAATTGAGAGTTCAGAGCCGTCTTGAGCTTTAACTACTGTTTCCAAATGTTGCTGCTGCATAAATTTGTCGTTATGTCATCCAGCCAGCTCCGGGCGTGTCACCCGCCGGTGGCCGGAGACCATGGGGGGCTCGGTACAAGGTGTTTCTAACATAGCCAGGGTTTGTGGGGTTTGTTTGTTTGTTTGTTGTTTTGTTTATTTGAGAAAAACGGGAAGGAAAATGATGCAGCATCTAAAGCCTTCAGATTGGACAACCTGCTTGGATTCTGATCAATGCTTCATTGTTAGCGTTTTGCACATGATTGTAATTTTTATGTCAAAAGAAGCCAAAACTTGCAATACTATTTTTAGCAGACAAAAAAAAAATAAAAGAACTAAATATAAAATGTATAAATATTTTTGACTTGAACATTTGGATGGCACTGGGTGCAAATAGACCATTCATCCTTTGGACGGAATGTTTGGGAAAAAAGAGACTTTTGAAAAGGAGACGGTTGCTGTAAAGAGTCCATGGAGGGGTTATGTAGTACTGTAACTCACGACTGTTAAAAATAAATCAATAAATTGTCCTGTGCTGTATAAAGGAGGCCTGTTTCACGGTAACACTGAGTTCCATTTCAGCCGCAGAAGAGGCTGGCTTTTTTTGTTTGTTTGTTTTTCTTTTCTTTTCTTTTCTTTTTTTTTTTTTTTTTTTTTTTTTGTCTTTTGGAGAAGGAGGAAACCTGTTTGCTCCTCCGGCGCCTCCCTCTCTTCCGTGCTGCTAATTGGCAGAGTCCAGACTGTTGCTTTTTCGCCACGGCTGACACCGTATCATAACTCAGAACAACGTCCGCCAGCGACCAGGAAACCGAGGGCTTGCAGTGTGCTCAGAGCCGTTTCAGGAGGCGAAATCCGTTACAAACAAACAAAAGGATGTGATCGTTCATTGTAAAGCGCTTTGTAAAATTCACATTTACAGAATAATAAAGTCAGTTCAAACCCAGGTTGCCTGCACTTTGCTCGCCCAGTGGTGTTGGGGGGCGACATTGAGAAGCCAGGGAGGGGGTGGGCTGTTGGAAGCAGGGTGGTCAACCATCCCAGGACACCCTCAACACCCAGGAGCCCTGGGCGGGGGAAGGGCCATCCCCAGGCTCGGCCATCCCCAGGCTCTCTGCCCACCATCCACACCATGCCCACTTACCTCCCCCTCCCCCCAGTATCTTACAAGGGAAGGGGGCTGGTGGGTAGGATGTCCTTCAGGTCCAGTGCCTGGGGGAGGGCCCTGAGCTCCGGGTGAACTGGCGAGGCTCTCCTTTTTCTTGTCTGCAAACTGGGGCATCCACCTCACCTGGCTCACCTGCCTGCCACTCCAGGTGTGCAGCTGCCTCCCTCCCCTTCCCTCCCCTGCTCCTGGGCTAGGT